TTTTCGGCTTTTTACGAAAATATGTGCAAAAAGTAGAGAGAAAAGGAATTCTTTAACTTTTTGGTATAAGTTGTTGGCTTTTTAATTTTTTTAGTAACTTTTTGACTAAAAAAGTCACTTGCCAAATGAGGCCTTAGTTTTATTTTAATACATCTTCTTCACAATTTATACTTTCAATTTTCTCACTAAGAGTAACATAAATTTGGGACATTTCCATTAGACATGCTTAACTTTTCAATCAACTCCCCCACATGCTCACATGGATCATGAATCTCAATAATGCACCTCTAACATGCACTAACACAAAATGCACTTTTGACAATTAAAATTGGCCCCTAAAAAAAATTTAGTCGCTAAAAGTTATGGAATTGACAATCAAATTTTTTTTAGTTGACAAAAGTACAATAGTAAGTTTCTAATTTTTTTTAGTTGGGGAATATTGATTATTGGCAACTAAAAAAAATTTAGTTTCTAAAAATACCAAAATTGGCTACAAAAAAATTATTTTAGTTGCCGTATATTTAGTTTTGGTTACTAAAACCATTTAGTTGCTGAATGTAAAATAAATTTTTTTTTTCTTTGGCGACCAAAAGTTTGGTTGCCAAAAACATATTTTTAGCAACAAAAAAATATTTTAGTTGTCGTATATTAAGTTTTGGCTACTAAAAGTATTTAGTCGCTGAATGAAAAATAAAAAATTATTTTTTATCTTTGATGACTAAAAGTTTGGTCGCCAAAAACATATTTTAGTTCTCGTATATTGAGTTTTGGCTACTGAAACCATTTAGTCGCTGAATGGAAAATAAAAAATTATTTTTTATCATTTTGGTCGTCAAAAACTTATTTTCAACGACAAAAAGAAATTTTAGTCGCCAAAAAACTAAAACATTTGGAGGGAGACATCTCAAATTTTGGAGGGATTTACAAAATTAATTGGTGACAAAAAATATTTAGTCGCTAATGGTCTAATATATATATATCTATTTATATATTTGGTTTCCAAACCACAAACCAGCGCCTTTGTCTCTGTCTCTTCAACATTTCTCTCCCTTTCCCTTTGCCTCTCCCTCTCCAGTGCTCTTCTCCCCTTCCTCTCTCACCGTCGCTCCACCAGCCGTGCATCAACTGCTTCTCCTCGCGGTCGTGGGCAACCGGAGCACCGATTGACCTAGATTTGCCTTATTTTCTCTTTCTAAAATCTCTCTATATCCGTATATTTGTCTATCCATCAATAGAGAGACCGGCGACGTGCTGGAGATTGCGATGACAATGAATCAAGAGAAGGCGAGTCGAAGGAGCAAGAGAGCACTTGGCACAGTGCCAAGTGTACATCGGATGTGTTGTCTCATCCTCTGTACGAGCAGTTGTTATCGGTGCATGTTCAGTGCCTTCAAATCACTATGCTGGTGGATTAGTTGCCGAGGATCGATGCGTGACTCGCGCAATCGCAGCATGTGGTGGCCAAGTATTCAATTCTTGAAAATGGTAATCAGCCTCTGGATGATAAGGACCTTGATCAATTCATAGTAAGGCTCTTCACTTGGTTCATACTTGTATGTATGTTTGTATAATTTCTCTTTATGTGTATGATTATATGTAGGTGTTGTTCAAATTAGATTGTTTTGTTATTGCAATATGATGTGGTTTGTCAAATTAGAACAATAGTTTGATGTTTGGCTTATCAATTTTTGGAATTTTTTGGCTCTTGTTACAATTCAAATTTTGTTGGTTCTATAAATTGTCCAATTTCTTGGGGGATTTTGTTCAGGGCTGGCCCTGAGATTTAGGGGGCCCAAGGCGACCTTCGGAAATTGGGCCTTTCTTACATTAAAAAAAAAAGTTAATGGATAAAACGAAAAGTTACAACAATTTTTTTATTTGTTTGTAGTCACAAAAAAATTTACTTACAACAATTTCTTCATCAACCAAACATGAACTTTCTATTTGTTTCTGGCTACCAAAAAATTTATCAAAGCGCTCCCGATTGAGATTGAATAAATTTTTCTAATTTTTGCTTCTTTTTCCTTTTTTCACATCCAAAATATACTTCCTAGGAGGCATGACTACTCTATATAATCACAAATCCACAAATTTTCTAATTTTCTAATTGTCAGAAATTTTCTAATGTTTATACTTCCAGAAATTTTCTAATATACTTTAGAAATTTTCTAATTTTCTAATGTTTATTTTCTTTCAGAGACCTACGTTCTTAGCCTCAGTGGGTATTATAAATTATAATGTGTTTCTTGTTGGGCCCATGTCAGTTGGGCCTCTATTCTGTCATGATATATTTTGTTTTTTTTAGGCCCCATATACAATTGGGCTTATTGTATTTGGATTTTTTTTTTATATCTAAAACATAAAATCATATTTTGGGGCCCTATTTTCAGCCCAAATCTGGGGGCCCAAGGCGTAGGCCTCTTTGGCCTACCCTCAGGGCCGGGCCTGATTTTGTTCTTACTATTTGTCATATATGTGCTTGTATAGAGAGAGAGAGAGAGAGAGAGAGAGGGCTAGCAGAGTGTGAAAATAGGACAATTTTGGTGAAGGCTCAAGTTTGAACCTAAGTTGTCATGCTTTTCATTTTGGAAGAATTTCATTTCAGTGCAAATTAAAAAATATATATTTACGTATTAATGTTAAACGCTACAACATTAAAATATAATTTTACAAACTTTGTCATGTATCTGAAATTATTTTTTGAACTTGTTTCCCTTTTTATTTTGTGCTTTGATGATATTTGCATTAGTTAGAACTGGTACTGGATATAATTTATGATGGAGTTTAGGTTCACGTATTTATAAATTCCTATTGTGGTAGCAACAAGAGGAATCATTTTGTTTGGTAAAGTAATTATTTAGACTCTTGGAGGTTATGGAATTGTAATGCCTTCAATATTCAAGATTTGTGAGAAAGGAAAATTTTGGAAACATTGCATGTAATTGTCAAACTAGAGTTTACTAGGCAGGCATGAGGTTCAATTTGGACGTTGTATAAATTTTGAACAAAACAGAATATTAAAATGATCTTGATGGGATTATATGCAGAGTGTAATATATCTAAATTATTAATTTTATAATTGTTAGAAATGTCAATTTTATTGAATAAGTGCTAATGGTTAATTTTTTTTCTTTTTTTACAGATTGTTTTTGCATGAGCTATTGTGGATGTATACGAAGAGGACTTGTTCTGTATATGAAAGACATTTATTTTGGAACAATCCTCTGCTTTGGAAATTCACTGTTTTTATATGTAATATTTAATTTAGATGGATTATACTTGGTTTGTATGGATTTATATAATATTTGGAATATGATGTTACAAGTTAAAGTTTTTGAATAGTTGATAATGAAATGAGTATTATTGATAATGGATTTAGATTATAATTGATAGATGTATTATTCTGTATACGTACAGGTTACAGGTTGCATTGATAATGAAATGCATATAATTTAGATATTAATGAAAAATATTCAATTTGTGCATTTAAAAAAAAAATAGAGCTTGAGTTTTTGGCGACTAAACATTTAGTATCCACAAAATAAAAAAAGGAACTTATTGGCGACTAAACAGTTAGTAGCCCCCAAAAAATGAAAGTTTTTGGCAACTAAAAAATTGATAGCCAAAAAGGAGTGTCACATTTTTACCGACTAAAAAATTGGTAACCAAAAAGGAGTGTCACGTTTTTAGCGACTAAAAAATTGAAGATGACAAATATTTTCTTTTGGACGACTAAATTTTCAGTCGCCAATTGGTGACTTTCGGCGACTAAAAAAAATTAGTCGCCAATACCTTTCCGACAATTATCTAACGACAAAGTTGGCGACCAAAAAATTTTGTCGGCAAAAATCTTCGGCGACTAAAAAATAACTTTTAGTGACAAAAAATTTAGTCGCCAATGTAATTTGCTGTAGTGATGCTTTCACCAACAATCAATCAATAACTCTTCATCCAACCACATTCTAGTAGCGTCAGTTACTCGAATGACTAGTTTTATGCACCTCAAGTTTTTAAGGGGTATATAAGCTGAAAATGATCCGAGTCAAAGTATTTAAGCACATTACTCTTTTGAATGACTAACATCACGTGTATTCAACTTACCATAAGATAATCATTATTAAAGTTAAGGGAAATGCTACTATACGTATCTCCTCTAATTATATTATTTTCTATTATTTTAGTTATGACTCATGAGATCCTTAATTACATTTAATTTAAGAGCAATGCTACGTATCATGAAAAAACTTTCATGAAAATGATCATGAAAGATTTATGACCTTTGGATTACACTTAAAATAAAACACCACACACTAATTAAGGTAATCCAAGAGTCATAAATTTTTCATGATCAGTTTCATGAAAGTCTTTTCATGATCCCTATCTTTTCTCTTAATTTAATATAGTGTTTAGTTATGATTTGTTTTCTTTTTAGTTATGACTCAAAAATATGAAAATTCTTTAATTATAAGATATGTATGGTACATATCCTTTAAGATGTGTGTATCATAATCTTTTCCTGAAGTTAATTAAGAAAATATATCAAAGGTTAGAAGTAGAAAAGTAAAGAATTCAACAAAGTTTGTGACATTAAACAACTTAGAATGCTTAAAATAGAAATACAATTTTTTTTTTTTTTTTTATAACTTTTCCCCCACCTTTTCCTTTTCTTATACAAATCACTGTTTAAATTTAAAATTAAACACAACTAGATACAAAAATCACAAAAAGGTCATTTGTTGTTCAATTTCAACCCCCCGATTTTTCTTTTTTTCCTTGTCCAAATTCTTACTCATTCTCGTTATGTTGCGCTTAAGAAATTTTTCTTGGTCCATCATGTTAGCTGTTTGTTTCATGCTAGGCAAGTTTTCAAACCTTTGAAACAAATGGGATGCTTCATTTGGAGAAGGCCAAACATCTGGTTGAGCAACAGATCCTGTTGCAGTAGTAGGATATATTATAGCACATGCATCAACAGAACATAGAGTTTTAAGCTCACTCACCTTTTTCAATAATCCAGCCTTTCTTTTCCGAAATGTCTGCTTCCGAACACGTTCATCAGCAATGAACTCGTACTTCACTGTTCGACCCATATTCAAAGGTTCAGAGAAGGAACTTTGCCTTTCAAGAACAAGTATAGATAGGTTTTATTGTGGAAGGAACCTCCATATGGAAATATATATATAGAGGCACTGGGACTCAAAAAATTAGGGTACTGTTTTTCGAAACGGAAAATTGACCAAAACCGACTTAGTTGTAAATTATTCATTGGCGAACAAGATAGCCGGTCCAATGGTCTATGTAATTGTCTCTTGGGATAATGAAAATGTCAGATATTCAACATTTAAGTCGATGAAACAAGTGAGATCTTTTTATTGTAATCTAATTTACTAATCTCCTAATATCTTATCATATGACAAAAAAATAAAAAAATTATTCATTGAACCAATGGACGTGTGGGGCCATGAAATTACTCCATCATGTTTAGAGCTTGTTTGGGAAGTTGCTATTTTAATCATTTTTGAAATTTTTTATTAAAAAACATATAGAGGCATTGGGACTCAAAAAAATTAGGGTAGTGTTTTTTGAAACGGAAAATTGACCAAAACCGACTTAGTTGTAAATTATTCATTGGCAAACAAGGTAACTGGTTCAATGGTCCATGTAATTGTCTCTTGGGATAATGAAAATGTTAGATATTCAACATTTAAGTCGATGGAGTAAGTGAGATCTTTTTATTGTAATTTAATTTACTAATCTCCTAATATCTTATCATATGACAAAAAAATAAAAAAAAAATTATTCATTGAACAATGGATGTGTGGGGCCATGAAATTACTCCATCATGTTTAGAGCTTGTTTGGGAAGTTGCTATTTTAATTATTTTAAATTTTTTTATTAAAAAACATATACTTTTATAAAAAGAAAAAAAACAACTATGTGATTGAGTGATGTAATGGGATTGAGCGTCAGTGTAACTACCATTTTTCAAAAAATTATGGTAAGAGGTACCATAGAAATCGAAACGGTCATAAAAAGAGAAAATTATCAAATAGCCATTCATGTAAGACAACAAATGAAGAAAAAAAATTACATATAGATGTTGTAACGCTTTCTATATAAGTTTAAAAAGTTTGCTTTGTCAGTTACACTTGTAACCACAACCTTAAATGTAAATACTAAAAAATGACAAAAATTGTTTAGAGGATCTCTTTTAATTAATGTGAATAGATAGATATGTATTATGTGTATTGAATGCCATTCTAACAAAACAGATTTTGTGGGTTTGATGAATTAATATTTTTATGCATTAGTTTTGGAGATGAAAAATAAAAGGTTATTAAGAAAAAAAAATTGCAATTTCACCACCAATAAAGAAAGTCTTTTTTTTTTTTCCACCAATAAAGAAAGTCTTTTTTTTTTTTTTTTTTTTTTTGATGGGAAGGAAAGTCATTTTATTAGCTGCACAAGCAGCCCCCAAGTGCAAACACATGTCTCTCCTCTTTACAATTCCATATATGTTCATTTTTTGATTTTTTTTTATGCAATTTGTTTTTAATGTTATTTCTCTTAATAATGTACTTATCATATTACTCATGCTATGCACAAGTATGAATAAATAACTAAAAATTAATTTCTAAATTACAATAACAATATAAAATTTACTTAAATTATGTAGTAAAATAATTTATAATCAATTAAATTTTATTCATTTTTGTCAGATTTACACATAAGAGAAGATTTTTATTCTGATATCATTAATTGTGTGTCCTAAATTTTTAATAAAAAATTGCATGTCATAATTTAATTAGTAAAAATTAAAGAATAAATTACAAAAATTATATTTACGATAAAATATAAATACATTTCGTTTTATAAGTTTTGTAATTTTAATTTACTATATGATAGCAGGGGTGGGCGCAAATTGGTTGTGGCCATGGAACCTCCAATCTGCTATCCGTCCGCCAGATTGGCAGATTGGAGAAAATCAATCCGCATCCATCCGGTAATCCGACGGATGTGGATTGAGCGAATTGGTGGATTGATGGATAGATGCGAATCGGTTTGGCGGTTTAAAATTTTATAAATTTTCAATATAATTTTACTTGTGCACTTCCTCAAAAAAAAAATATATATATATATTACGGTCAATGACTTAAAAAAGTATTACAATTACTGTATGCCTCATCCAAAGAAAGAAAGTTGAAACTTTAGAATATTACAATCACTGCATGCCACATCTACATAAAGTATTACAATATGTGATTCTTAAAATATAAAAACAATTCAAATCACCAAAACCATGAACAGAGCAGTAGTAAAAATTATATGCCTTTGTATTGTTACATCTATATTTATTTTTGAAAACAAAAACCAACTAATATATATCATCATTTTTATTTATTATTTTTAGAGTTAGACTTAAAAACAAAAAAATATAGATAAATAATACATTTTTTTTTCAATTCAAAAAATATATTCAAGTTAAAAACTCTTTTTCAACATAATATTTAAACTTTTTTTTTCAGTTGAAAACACAAACAGAATATCTAAACAAATTGAAAACACAAAGTCTTACTAATTGTTAGGGGTGCTCGCGGTTTGACAGTTCGTTTGCGGTTAAATAAATCTCAAATCCACCATCTATCCAAAACTAGGCAGATTGGAAAAAATCAATCCGCAACCGTCCGCTCGTCATCATTCATCTGTCCAAAATGCAGCGGATCGATTCGGTTCAGTCGGTTTGGACAGATCGGTATATTCGTTACTCACCCCTATATGATAGTAGTAAATTACATTTGTTAATATAGTAATTTTTTTCTTATTTTGTACAACTTAAAAATTTGTCTATTTAAAATTATAAATTGTCATATGTCATAACTCTTATGTAAAAATGTATTAGAATTGACTTATGGTGTTGGATTAAACATTAAAAGTGACTTAAAAACTACTTGACTCAATATTTATACTAATGTAACCTTTACCTAATCGTTAAAAATTATCTTTATCGATTCGTGACTTGTATAAACTAGTTTGAGGGTTCTAATATTAGATTAAATATTAAAAATTAACCTAAAAAATCAAATTCAAGTCAATTTTTTTTTTATAATTATTGGTTTAAGCTATAATGCATCATAATTTAATAACTCAATATCATAAAAAAAAATAATCTTAATATTTACAGTGCTTTTTATCAATCAATAGAAAAAAATTATAAATATTAAGATAATTATATTTGAACAAATTCTAACATAAAATTTTTATTTTAAAACTTTAAGGCCTACACATTTTCTTTGACTCTATGACTAATTTTTGAGATAGCAACTAAAATAAATTTCAATTATAATTGTATAGAGAAACATGTGTGATAAGAGTTTGTAGTACACAATTTTAAAAAGCAATATTAATTCAAAAAATTTAGTATGGAAAATATATACCCAACTTTATGTTATGTTTGATTCATGGATTTGTGTAGGAATTTGGAATAAGGAAGGAAAAATATAGGTGAAACGTGAATAAAATATAACTACATTTAACTTAATTTTACACACCTTTTTAGTTTTCCTGTCAAAATTTTTACTTAAAACCATGAACCAAACACATCATCAATGTTTGAAACGAATTTTGAATCCATTATTGTATTTACATACACTATCTACAAAAAAAACCTATATAATATTTAATGGGAGAAGTAAAATTTTAAAATGTATCATTAATCACATTATAAGGGAATAAAAGTTAGCCAATAATTATTATTTTTAAATATTTAAAAAATTAAACATCAAGAGAAATAAATTATGGAAGATGTGAATCGATTCCTATATTTTAATTGTACAAAAATCTAAATTTTAAAACTGATTATTTTCAAATTTCTAAATTTAAATTTTTAAATAGATTGATTAACTTTCTTTTTGAAATGTATAAATTAAGGCATGACTAGATTTTTTTTAAAAAAATGATTCAATAAAAACTATAAGATTTTTTTCAAATTTTAAAACTAATTAGTTAACTTTCCTTTTCAAATTTCTAAATTTAAATTTCTAAATGGATTAATTAACTTTTCTTTTGAAATGTATAATAAATAATTCAATAAAAGCTAGAACATTTTAAAAAAAAAAAAAAAAACTAATTAGTTAACCTTCCTTTTCAAATTGTTAAATTTAAATTTATAAATGGAATAATTAACTTTCCTTTTGAAATGTGTAAACTAAGGTATAATAAGATTTTTTTTATACATATATTTTAAAACTGATTAGTTAACTTTCCTTTTCAAAATTCTAAATTTAAATTTATAAATATATGAATTAACCTTCCTTTTGAAATGTATAAATCAAGGTATAATAATTTTTTTTTTGTTGTTGTAATAATTCAATAAAAGTTATTTAGTAGAAGATTTTTTAATTATTTAAATAATAAAAATTCTAGAAAAATAGTGTAAGGATTTTGAATTTTACAAAAACCTCTTTTTATTAGAAATATCATTTTTCTTAATAGAAAGTATAGATGTTGTGGCAACTTGTGTAGCATCAATTCATACCACGTTTGTTTGGTGGATTAGATTGGATAGAATTTTAGTGAAAGAATTGTTAGTGAAAGAGATTGTTACGTGAGATTGTTAGGAGAGGATTAAGGTAAAAAGTATGTTTGCTTTGAATAATAGCATTAGAGATGATTAGTGATGGGATTGTTAAATTAATTTTATAATAAAATAAAATAAATTATTTCTATATTAAAAAAAATTAGATCAAATATTAAAACAAATAGGTGCACTGGTAAAAAATAAATTTTTTTATATAAAAAGACTCAATCTCCTCATATTTTTCTAATCCCATCAAAACCACCATCCAAACTAATCCCCATAATGTTATTCATAGTCCTATTTTTAACATGGCTATGTAGGACCCACAGGATTGATAGCTAATCTCCCCACCTATTAACCATAAACAAACATGACCATAAAGTAAGGAGTGACCTACTCATTAAAATTTTAATATATTCTTACTTCTTTCAAAGGAGGATCATAGACAAGTCTTTGGTAGGGTTTGATTTAGTTTTAAAATTATATTTGATAATAAAATTATATTTTGAATTGTGGTTGTTAAATTCATGATTTGAGAAGAGAAATTTGTTTTGATTATAATTTGGAAAAAGAATTTTAATTTTTTAAATGAGTTTTGAAATAAGAAAAGTTGTTTGGTTATGAGTTTTGAAAAGATGTTTAATACTCAATTCAAAACCCTTATAACTCATAACCAACATCAACTCAAAACTCTATTGAAATTAATATTCAAACTTCATAAACCAACTCTTTTTAAAATTAAATTCAAAAAAATATTATTGCAAAAATAAAAATTTTTTATTTAAAAAATATTCAAAAAATTCCGAAAATTTTTTATTTAAAATGAAAAAAATAAAATTTTTAATTAAAAAATTCAAAAAAAAT